ATGGACGAGGACGAGGCGAGGCTGCATGCTGGCAAGTTTGGATCTGACCTCACGTCCACGACTTCAACTCGGTTTCCTTATCCGAGTACATTTTCTGTCGCCATGGACCATTCTCTGCGGATGCCCTGCTATATCTGGGTCATCTATTGGCGTCACCATCAAGGAAGCGCCAATACATCTAGCGCAAATCACAGCAAGAGACACGGGCGTACTAGTAGCAGCTCTTCAGTACAATTGTAGTAGCGTGGTACAGCAGACACCTTCTCCCTTCCTGGGTGCGACATGGGTGCGAGGAAGCTCCAAGTGTACTCATCTAGAGGAATCAGAGTCAGACCAATCAGACACCACATAGCGAGCGTCCAGTGAGCTCGGCCAGTCCCGTCTCTCAAATAGACTGCAGGGTGATTCTGTTCGGACTCGGGCCGCTCTCTTTTGCCTTGCGCATCTCCGTAGCAACTCGGCGCTTGCAAGCCAGTTGTACTAGTATACAACTTGAGTCGACCCCGCTAGCGCTGTTGAGAGTCAAGTGGGGTGTGTACCAACCCTAAGGCACTAAGCGGAGACGCTTCAAACGCTTGACGACCTCATCTATCTATCTATCTATCTATCTATCTATCTATCTATCTATCTATCTATCTATCTATCTATCTATCTATTCAAGCCATGAACATGGTTTCTCTCGCTTTGACGGCGTCGAACGCGGCCTCGTCCTGTGGCTGCTTCAAGATTCAGGTTCGTGAATGGAAAAAGTGCAAGTTTACAGAATTTTGACGACAGCGAGCAGATCTAGTCATGCTTGGTCTTGGGCGCGTCCGAGTCGGACGAGTGGCCTTCGTACTCGTCCTTGCTGGCGTTGTTGGGGCCGACCGTGAGCACGCCGTAGAGAAGCCGCATGAGGAGGAACGTCCACCAAATGTGCAGCGAGTACAAGGCGGCGAAGAGCGTGTTGAACCAGAGCCAGTGCGTCGGGCCGGGCGTCGGAAACAAAATCGAAAAGTCGAGCGCTGCGATCGGGTCCATGCACGACGCGCGCATCTCGAAGAGCGTCGAGTACATGAGCTTGGTCGGGAAGAGGTAGACGCGGAAGTAGACCCACTGGACAAGCGTGAACGCAAACATAAACTCGGTGACGAACCAGCCTTCGCGGTTCTCGAGCTTGAGGTAGTTGACCATCTTCAAAAAGTCGAGCGGAATGTCCGAAATATCATGGAGGAACATGACGATGACGCCAATGGGGAGGTACCCGACGGCGTAGCTCCAGATGATGAGTGAGATGGTCACGACGTGGTGGCCCATCATGACGAGGTGGTCTTTGCGCTTCTCTTCGAGGAATTCGCACGAAAAGCCCACGTAAATGTACATGCCCTAATGCCATCCATCGTCGTGAAAGCCTCTCCATCATTGGAGTATTACCAGCTGGAAGACGTAGAGCGTGTGCACGGCGCTGCTGTACGAGGGAAAGGCGCCGGTCGCCGACGTATAGTCCCAGCCTAAGGCATCATATATCCATGTGAGCACGCTGCCAGCAGGATGGAGGAGGAAGGACGTACAGCTGCTCGTGTCCTGCCACCACGTCTCGTCGGCCATGACGACGAGCTCGGCGAGCGTCAGCACCGTGTGGAGCACGAGGAACCAGCCTTGGTCGCAGAACTTCTTCATCGCGATCGGCTTGCGGAGCGGATCGCCGAGGTGGTGGAGGTAGTTGCGCGAGAGCCAGGCGCCAAAGACGCGGAAAAAGCCCTTGGTCACATGGATTGCGACGGCGACGCCGAGGACGGACGCGATGAGCAGCGGGAGGTACGCGCTGTCGAGGAGATGCACGACGACGCCGATGAGCGCAAAGTAGGCCACCACGATCGGCACGTGGAGGTAGACGTTGGGCGTGAAGCCGGCCATGAGATCCTTCCTTTTCTTCTTCGGACGGCGACCAATGCTCAAATGACTACGGCCCGCCACGACCTTCTTTAGACCAGCTGGCACGCGCCGCCGTTCCTGATTGGTGGCCTGGAGACAGCCCATGCGGAGGTGCTTGGCGCGTCCATGCGTGTGTGCGTCGAAACACCCTCTACCATGCGCCGTCGCCAGTGACTCGAGTGGCTTGGGCCTCGTGCGCTCTCATAATGCGCGACGACGCGGAGCCGTCGTGATCGGGACAGCGGCGCTGATGTGGAATTCGCTTAACCAAGTAGCAAGCATCCGTGCATGGTGGGATGACGTGGTCAGCGCGACGCCCGATGACGCGGCCCATCCATGCACGCGCCAACGCGTGGTCTATTTCCAAGAGGAAGCACTTCTTTAGCGAGTGGGCGTCGAGGCTGGAAGGAGGATAGGAACGCCTGGCCGTGGACGCACAGTCCAAGGCGTTTGACGTTGATCCTGCGCCATCTGGCACGGAGCTGGCCGAGACTGTACTTGAAGAAGGGAATAGAGTGCCATTACTCGTGATTGCTCCGATGCGCCCGAGCACGTGTGGTTACGTATTCATTCTCGTCTCGATGCGTGACGAGAATGGACAAGCGTGTAGAGAGAGCTCGCTATGGCCATGGGAGCTGCCATGGGTGCTGGGTGCATCGTCGACTTATCCAGAACAACGCGGTGATGTGCATGGTGGACAGGTCGGTCTGTGGTAGCCTACGGCTATCTAAAAACACACCACCGCCGGCCACCCAAGCTAGCCCCGGGTCCCACGAGGGCGACCGAGGCAATATGTCGAGCTATAGAGATTCCAGAGCTCAACGCTACGACGTGTGTATTACCTACTCGATGCGATGCGAGCTTGCGATGCAATGTGCAAATGTGCAATGTGCGTGCATTTAGACCATGCACATCCGGATGTACGGCGCAATCTGCCGGATACGGGTCACCGGTTGGTGGCGGATAAAAAATCGCAGCCGCATGGACGTCCGACGCGAGAGCCCGCCGCTGCGCATTCGGCAAGTCATCGTTCGCGGCAACAAGCGCACGAGGTAGCCATCGCATGCGCCTGCTCGTATTCTCATGGTTACCTAGCCCCGAGATCTTTGAGCATGAGCTGCAGGTAGGCTAGCGACGAGAGGAGCGTTGGCCACGCGAGAATGAGTAGGCTGCGTACGCTGCGAGCTCGTTCGCTGGCGTCGCCGAGTCGTTGAACCACGCCGCCGAGGTACGCCGCGCCGCCAATCTCGTAGCAGTCTGCGATGGATGCGTAGGAGCTGCGCAACCTCAGCATCTTCGAGTCGGTGGACATCTTGATTGACACGGGTTCGATGATGCTATGTACTGTGGTCTATGCGTCACGTCTGTGTAGCCCCCGGCGGCAACCGCAACGAGGCGGATGTGACGATCACGGTCAAGGAGCTGGGCATGGCGTCTGTGTACGCGGGCGTCAACTCGGACGGGCACGAAGGCACGGCGGTACCGTCGTCGGTCGGCGCTCGTCCATTGACACTTATGACGATGGTAGAACACGACGTGCACGCTGAC